CTGTCTCTCTTTGTCTCTGTCTCCCCCTCCCTGTCTCTCTCTGTCTCTCTTTGTCTCTGTCTCCCCCTCCCTGTCTCTCTCTCTGTCTCTCTTTGTCTCTGTCTCCCCCTCCCTGTCTCTGTCTCTCTGTCTTTCTCTGTTGCTCTGTCTCTGTCTCTCTTTGTCTCTGTAGCTCTGTCTCCCCCACCTCTCTCTCTCTGTCTGTCTCTGTCCCTGTCTTCCCCATCTCTCTCTGTCTGTCTCTGTCTCTGTCTCCCCCCTCTTTCTCCCTGTCTATCTCAATGTGTGTGTGTGTGTGTGTCTTTCTCTCTTTCTCTGTCTCTGTCTGGCTCTGTCCCCCCCTTACTCCCTGTCTCTCTCTGTCTCTGTCTCTCTGTCTCCCCCGCTTCCTGCTGGTGGCCCAGACCCTGTATTGTGCCCACATGTGTTGCCCTACTCCCTTCTCATGGTGCCCCATGGACTTAATCATGCCCTCATCTTCATGTCACAGACGTGGACACTGAACTCAGAGAAACCAGGAGCCTGGCCGGCATCACAGCCAGGCCCTAGACGAGCTGGGAGACAGGGTAGAGCAACGGTCTATTGGCTGTGTTACAAGGATGGGGCAGTGTTCGGGGATACGTGCTAGTATTTGAATGCGCTTTTCCAACAGTCCTTGTTGTTGAAGGCACAGCAGGGCACATGGTGGGACAGCAGTTCCTGCAGGGACAGTTCTGTGACCGCAGGGACAGAGGTGACTGGCAGGTGACCGCAGGGACAGAGGTGACAGTGATGACCGCAGTGACCACAGAACAGAGATGACCGCAGGGACAGAGGTGACAGCAGGGAGCATGGGGTCAGGTGACAGGGGACCATGGGGACAGAGGTGACAGCAGGGACCATGGGGTCAGGTGACAGGGGACCATGGGGACAGTGGTGGCCATGGGGACAGACGTGACAGTGGTGACCATGGGGTCAGGTGACAGGGGACCATGGGGACAGTGGTGGCCATGGGGTCAGGTGACAGCAGTGACCATGGGGACAGTGGTGGCCATGGGGACAGAGGTGACAGTGGTGACCATGGGGTCAGGTGACAGGGGACCATGGGGACAGTGGTGGCCATGGGGACAGTGGTGGCCATGGGGACAGACGTGACAGGGGACCATGGGGTCAGGTGACAGGGGACCATGGGGACAGAGGTGACAGTGGTGACCATGGGGTCAGGTGACAGGGGACCATGGGGACAGTGGTGGCCATGGGGACAGAGGTGACAGTGGTGGCCATGGGGTCAGGTGACAGGGGACCAT